TACCACAAGGACCATGTATCATCAAACTCTTAACTGCATCGTGCAATTCAATGTCTACTCTAGGATCAGGGATCTCAGCTGATATTACATTATTAATGTCATCAGGATCCTTTAGCTTGCACTGAGGGGACAAAAATAGGACTATGTGTGCATGTGGAAGACCTCTCTTTTGGAACTCAATTGTGTAAATCACTGGAAAAAAAAAAAAGAAATGTCAATTAATATGAAGTAATAACTAATACTCCGTATGTATTTAAGGTATTTTAAATTTATTTGATAGAGAACTAACATGCTTGCGTTTCTCCAAATATCTTCTTATCTTTGAGATCAGCTATGAGATCGTTTAATTTCAGTTTGAAGATTCTAGCCACGATATCGGGTCGATCCTCGGACTTGATACTTCCATCTTTCAAACATCTTTCTATTTCAGGCCATTTTGGGTTGCAAGTGAATGTTATAAAGAGATCCGGGTTCCCGCACTTACGAACTATTGCCATTGCATCTTGATAGTTTTGGATCATATATCTTGCACTTCCGGTAAATGATGATGGCAGTATTATACGTTTACCTTGTTTATTTGGATTTGTTTCTCCTCGTAAAACTGCATCAGCAAGGCCTTTGTATATATGTGATCTCAACTGCACTTGATTCTGTCTTAGATAAGACAATCTTTCTGATTCAACCATCGTATATGCATCAACAATAAACTGTTGCAGAAGCCTTCGTGAACTTAGAATCGTACTATATTCAGAGTCTCGTGATTGCAATCGATAAGCAAAAAACTGACGCATGCTCAACTCTTCTTTTTTCCCATTGTTACTACAGCTAGAGCTCTTGTATTTAATGCCTGGCCTGTACCCATCTTCTGCGTAAGGGAATAACAATGGATATTGCAAAGCAAGATAAGAAGGATGTGTCTCATGGATCCTTTGGATCAACGGGTAGCGAGGGACTGTCACAAGGGTTAGGTTTCGGGTTCGAATCCCGGCAACTGCGATGAGGGGTTACTATGCTGAAAAATGCATAGGGCTTCTGCAAGTATCGGGGACAGAGCCTCACTCTCTATCTGTCAGATTGTGATTATAGTCCAATTTACATCTTCTCATCGTGCCGTCCGGTCGGTATTGAAGGGCGCACAGGGATGGGGTGGCATCCTTTTTTTAGTTCTTACAAAATTTATACGGGGCATCATATAAAGATAAGAATATATATGTTGCAAAATCATTATGGAAAGTGATTATATCTTTCATATAATCAAAATATTTTGAAATGGAATAAAAAGTTGGCTACATACACGATAGAAAAGTAGCAATAATTCTAAAGTTTGATAAAGCCAATATTGACTATGTTTCAATTTGAAAAATCGAAGGGAAAGCAATTAAAATTTTAAATACTAGTATATAATATCACTTTAGTTTGTTTGATTAACCTTCGGGTATATGATTCCCCTTTTTAAATTCTTTGCATATACTTAGATTTATTAATTATCACCAAATATAAATACTAGTTAAATTAATAAAGGAAACTGTATTTAATCAAATATTATAAAAAAACACATCCGTATGATGTATGTGAAATTTGATTCATGTATCATACAAAATAGGTTAGAGTCAAATAGGCCCTTGAACTGACTTATAATGTTTAATTAGCCCTTTATATAGGAGGTTCTGCCTGGCCGTCGTCAATTGGGGCAGTTCCCGGTGGAATTTTTTGATGAAATTTTTTGAGCAACTTCTTCATTAAGTCTAGTTTACTCATACCAAATTTCAGCTAAAGATTCAACCAGGAAGGCAGTCAAACGATTTTTTGAAGATAACTGCGAAGTTAAACAGCGCAGTACATCTCGGAAAATTATTTGACTACCTTTCCGGTTGAATTTTTAGCTGAAATTTGGTACAAGTAAACTAGACTTAATGAAGAAGATGCTCAAAAAATTTCATCAAAAAATTCCATCGGGAACCGCCCCAATTAGCGACGGCCGGGCAGAACCTCCTATATAAGGGACTAATTGAACACTTTAAGTCAGTTCAAGGGCCTATTTGACTCTTTAGCCTATAAAATACGAAGTACGGAGTAATTACCAATAAAAATCTAAAGCGCCTTTTGTTGCCTAGGTTTCGTCTATTCTCGTCTAGGCTTCAAAGTTTTTAAGCTTGGTCTTAACATTTTGTCATGTCTCACTCATTTCTAAACATTGACAATAGGCAAAAACAAAAAGCAAATATGTTATTACAAAAGAGTAAGTTATTTTATACAAAAAGCAAACATGTCATTACATTATACGACTGTATTTTTTTGGGGTGGCAAAATATTATTTGGGGGAGTGGCAATTTTATTTTTCTTATATATATAATTAATGAAAAAAATACTTTGGTGGGAGGATGTGGCCCCCTAGGCCTCTATTAGGGTTTGTCATTACCTATTGGTGTTCATTCTATTAATAATGTCGATCCTAATTTATCGTTACACATTTTGTATGACTTTTTTTGGGTTTCCCTGCTTGTTTGATTATTAATGGAAGGTAGAAGCTAATGCTCCTACGGCTTATGGTATGTTTGGCACAACTAGCTAAAAAGATACTTTTACGAGCTTTTTAGTAACTGTTAGCTTTTAGTGACTAAAAAGATCTTAAAAAGAAAAGGTGATAGCTGTTTGGTAAAAAGTTGATTGTTTGATTTAGTTCGGTTTGGTATACAAGCTGTTAGGACTGATTAATACTAAAAGTCACAAGCTTTTCTCAAATGCTACACCCGGTAGCATCTCAAAAAAGACCTTTTAATTTTTGAAAAGCTTTTAAAAAATGTTATGTCAAAAAAGCTTTAGTTGTATGTCAAACATACAACTAAAGTCTTTTAAGGTCTTTTTAAAGAATAGAGAAGCTAGAAGCTAGTGCTTTACCAAAAAACTGGAACTAGAATCCACCGAGAGTCTCGGTTAGAGAGAGGAGCGGCGAAGGGGAAACCTAGCCTCCTCCTCTTCTTTTCCTCTCTTTGTTCAATTTTCTTTTTATCCCAATCATGAAAAAAGTTTCGTTGGATCAATATTTTCAGTTCTATGTATACGTCTATTTCCTAGCGTTGTCTAGAGATATAATTTTCGGTGGCAAAGTGTCGCTCGCCAGATTTATATTCCTCGCCATCATCGGTCGGGTGTTCTTGGGTGTTAGTAAGAGATGTGTATTGGCTTCTCTATCGATCATGAATCAAGATTTATTCTGGATCAATATAGAGGCCGATCGCCCCCCTCCTGAACCACCGTTGATCAAGGAAGATGAGAGTGAATGAATTGTTTTCTTTCCGGTGGCTGGTGAAATCGGAACAATTTCTGCACTTGGCTCCTTACCGGTGGCTGGAAAAACCGGCAAGTTTAACAAATGCTTTGCGGTGGCTGGTCAGACAGGACCTATTTCGAGTAGCACGAGCAGTCAAATTGCGGGACGAGTCTACATAGTTGCAGGGTTAGCGAATATAATAGCTTTTATTTGGTTTTTTTGTTCTTTTTCTCACCCTAGTGTAGCATTGAGTGTTGTGATTGTAATGCTTCGGCTTTTGATTGTTATGTTTCTGGTTACCCATATTATCAATAATAATTAAGGTATTGATTTTCAAAAAAAAAGAATCCATCGAAGATTCACACCGATATGCACTCTAAAAAAACTTCTTTAACCAGCTACTATTATACTATTGTTGTTGTTACTGTTATTATTATTATTATTATTATTATTATTATTATTTATTATTATCATCTATAAGGACATATACGAAAAAAGATGATGGGTTAAATTATGCCATGTTATATGTAGTAATTTAAACTTAGAGAAAATTCTCTAAATAGAAGTAAAACATGGATAAAGTTCATAAATAGGACTATCAATGTTTTTTTTCAAAATACGATTAACTCACTCCTATTTTGGAAAGTTCTAATCTAGGGCCTGTTTGGTAATGGCTGATAAGACTGAAAAGACTAAAATCCTAAAGTGAAAGTGTTTGGTAATATATTGGCTGAATTGGCTGATTGAATGTATAATTACCATAAAGGGTATTATCTTTTTACACTAAAATACTACACTTTAAATAGCAACAATACATATCAAAACATCAACACAGAAGCTCCAATCACGTAACTCAATATAATGGTAAAAGCACTATGGTGGATTTCATATTTCCTAGAGAACTATTTTTTTTTTTCATACCCTGAAGGCCAGAACGGCACAACCAATATGGAGCAGAGAAGTCCGCAGAGCATGACTTCTACGATTAGGGAAAAAAGGCTGGTTATAGTTGTCTTTTAACATGTTAATCAAACAAAAATAGAAAACAGCTCAAAAAGTAACCATGAAGCAACTTTTTTGGCTGATAATAAGAATCAACCAAAGCAGCCCATAGAAGAGGTGTTTGGCTATTTTCATGGATTTTAAGCCTGATCTTTGCTCTTCCAAACGCCCTCCTAGTATAATTGTCTTATATCATACGGAGTATTTGGTAACATTTGTGTGACTCTAATTCATTCTTACTTTCATTTCACTTTATCAACTCATTATCAACTACATAATTCTACTTTTCTTAAAAACAACATCACTCCCTTCTGTCACCAGGAGGAAGGAGTAAAACATAATTATTCATATTTTTAAATTTTGTGTATTTTTGGTCATATATTTAGCAATTTCTAATTTAAAATTATTTACAAAAATATGACTTAAGTGTTAGCATCACTTAAGTGTAAAAATTAAACATATTTTATTATGACTAAAGTCAGTAGCCTAGTGACCTAGTCATTATATTTAACTATTTAAGACGTAACATTTTTTGGTAAATAACTTTTATTTTAATATTTTATTATTATTACAAACTCAATCGCCTAAAGCTGTTACACTGTTACAACAGTTATTAGCATCCAAATATAAGTATATAACTGATCAAAAAGAAAAGGCATCCAAATATAAAGGAAATTTGAAATTGGAAATTTGACCAAAAGAAAACTGTTAATCATAAAGAGGGTTCCCAGTTCCCACTTCCCAGCAGTTCTAACAACGAGGTAGAAAACCGAAACCACCAACTTCGCAATATTTACTGGCAATATTTATTATAATAACGGCTATGTTTTTCAAACGCTTGAAACTGAAAGTTTCTAATCCTCTCTTAAATCGCATAAACTCATTTTAATCTCCAGATAATTATTTGATCACGGCAACAAGTTGAAGTTACACGCCATTTCCTTCTTAATTCATCCATCGGTAAGTTTTATTAGTTTCTGAAAATTTACAATTTCTACTTTACTAACACTATTATTGTTAATCAACACAAAGCTTTTCAACAATTTCTGTATTTTCTGTATACTCCATTGCAGATTCTTCTTCATCATCAACAACAAACTCTCCCTCCGGGAAAAATGAATGATCTGATGACTAAATCTTTCTTGAACTACGTGGAACTGAAGAAACAAGCCCAAATGGACAATGAACCCGATGATCAGGACATAGAATTAGGCCACCTCAGCAATGAAGATTCATACAGCCTCTCCCTGTTCTTCCAACAAGTTGAAGAAATCAAGACAGACATAAAAGGGATCAAAGATCTCTTCTCTGATCTGCAATCCCTGAACGAAGAAACCAAAACCACCCATAGTGCCAAACTTTACCGTGGTTTGCGGGACAGGATGGACTCGAACATGGTCACCGTCCTCCGCAAGGCCAAATCTGTCAAAACCAAACTACAAACACTCGACCAATCAATCTCCGGTCATCAAAAGGGGACCACGGCTGACCGAATCCGACTTTCCACCACCCACGGGCTGAGAGTCAAACTAAAGGACATCATGAATGATTTTCTTTCCCTAAGACGAAAGGTCGTCTTGGGTTACAAAGAAGACCTTAGAAGACGGTACTATAATGCTACTGGGGAGTTTCCAAGTGAAGAAGTGATCGAGAAGATGGTTTTGGGAAGGGAAGATGTTCAGATTTTCGAGACCAAAGTGGAGATGAAAGAGGAGAGCAAAGAGAGGCACGAGGGCGTGATGGATATCCAGAGGAGCTTGGATAAGCTTCATCAGGTGTTTCTTGACATGGCTGTCATGGTTGAGGCTCAGGGTGAGCAGATTGACAATATTGAACGCAATGTCGCCACTGCCGGAAGCTACATCAATGGTGGAACCCACAACCTCTTCTACGCTAAACAGATGAAGCGAGGGGGGAGGAAGATGCTGGTTTACTGGATTTTCTCCGTGTTGGTTATTGTCTTGCTGGTCTGCATCATCAGCCTGTTAAGTTCCTGAGATGGGAGAAAAAAGTGATCTTGATTATGGTTTCTTTTTCAGGCAATAAAAAAGTTCAGATGTGTTCTTTTAACAAGTTTTAGAGAGCTTGGCACTTGAAAATCCATTGTACCCTTCCAAATTCACTAGATACTCATACTTATATAGGAGACAGTTTGATAGGCTTCATTTTCGGTCTGTTTTTCACAGAACTGTAACATATTTTAAGGCGTTAGCTGAGCTGGCTGATAATTTAAAAGGTGAAGAAGTTACTTTTCTTGACTAAATGAAACAAGAGAAGAAACAAGAGAAATTACTCCTATTTAGGGCAATTTCTTATTAAACAAATTGACACCTCTAACTTTATGTGTACAACAACATCAAGCTTTAATTCCAAAAGATTTGATCAAACTTTTCTTGACTAAATGAAACAAGGGAAGGAACAAGAGAAATTACTCCTATTTAGGGCAATTTCTGATTACAATCCAGTTTGAGGTACACACTTTTCATACACACACTTACACACTCGTGTCTGTGTATGCTTTTCTTTTTTGTCTATATACAGACACAACATATTTTCAAATACGTTATGTCTATATACAGACAAAAAAACCTACACAGACACGAGTGTGTAAGTGTGTGTATGAAAAGTGCGTAACAATAGCATTTTTGTTCTGATTAAACAAATTGATACCTCTAACTTTATGTGTACAACAACATCAAGCTTTAATTCCAAAAGATTTGATCAAACTCTAACTTTATAGTCTTTATGTGTACAACAACATCAAGCTTTAATTCCAAAAGATTGCGATCAACTAACACGAACCAATACATGATATCGGAGTGAAAAAGAAAAGAAAGATAAAAAGATAAAGTATGATAAAAAGATGCAATAAAAATAAAGATAAATACTATGTATGGGATAGAGATAAAAATGACGATAAAAAGAATACATATAAAATAAAAATGATAAAAAGATGATATTAAAAAAAACATAAGAAAGATAAAGAACAAAGGGAAAATGGAAACTAATAATCCAACCTTTTAGCGGTTTTCTTACAATAATCCAACCTTTTGGTTATTCATGAATAATCCAACCTTTGCACCTCATCTTCATTCACTGGCCCCTGATCGGTTCATGACCTGCTATTCCAAGCTATTTTCTTATCTTTGCAAAATATTATCTTTGTGAAAGATGAAATTTATGGTATAATGATTTGCAAAGATAAGAAAATAGCTTGGAATAGCAGGTCATCAACCGGTCAAGGACCAATGAATGAAGATGTGGTGCAAAGGTTGGATTATTCATGAATAATCAAAAGGTGGGATTATTAAAAGAAGACCTCTAAAAGGTTGGATTATTAGTTTGCATTTTCTCAAGAACAAAAAGGGATAACTTCAAAATCACGAATACCGTTCCTCCACTTTGCTCTCTCCAAAATCATACTTTCATATAACTTCATGTATATATTATATTTTCTATAATTCATCGCAATATATTTTCTAGATATTCTTTTAGAGCATTCAGCCTTTCCGTTCATAGGTTTGATCGAGCAGATTCAATCATTTTAAGACTAACCAAACAGGCACTAAATTTTCTACTTCTTCCATATTTAAATTATGAAATACCATTAAAAGTGGGGCACTGATATGGAAAACTTGAATCATATCATGAAATTGCTTTATTGCCGAACACTCAAACAGTAACCAAGAGAATTAACAACTGGAGCAATACAAGGAAAGACAGAAAGGCAGCAGATCTTCTTCAAGAAACACTTAAATGTTGAACGGCTGTCCAGCTTTGGTTCGGCTTCAACTCAACCTCTCCAATCTGAGGTATCAACAAAACATATAAATCTCACATGAGGAATTAATATATAGCATTTGGCTTCTTATGATATCGTCTAGCGTCTCTCACCTTTGCATTTTCAACACAAACAAAATCTTTGTAGCATGACTCCATAGTTAGATGTGGATTCCACAGAACAGTATCCGACCAACTGCATGAAGCAACGCATCCACGTAACAAATAACAAGAGTGTGTTTTGGGATATAATTTCTATTTATAAGTGTTTCTTTATGGAGAAATAGAATTATATTTACTTCACAAGAAGCATTTAGAAGTAAACCAGTAATTAAAAAATACTTCTAGTGCTTGATCAAGAAATTTTTGCCACTTTAAGTCCTTTTCAATTGTAGGCTTGTAGCAGCCACATACTTTTTCTAAAAAGCTTCCAGTCATATGACTATTATGACTGAGACATTGTTGGTTCCGTTTTTATTTTTATTTTTCCACCTTTAGTCATTTTATTATTGTGACATACTTTTTTAGTCCTTCAAATTAGAGCACTAGAAGTGTTGACTGTCTCAAAAGTTTAGAGTACTAAAGTGAAAACATTCTAAAACGAGTACCAAAGGTATCATTGTCACATACACACATAGTGAGAGGTCTAGAGGTGAAAAAAATTGTGTATTCCATAAGTTATCCCAAATTAGCTGTAATTGTTCAATTGATTTTTTATACAAAAAAATAAATAAAGAGTTTAAAAGGGGGATTGCATTTATTGAATAAAATTAATCAAAGGAAATGGACCGTAATGAAATAAAGAGGGGGGATTTTTCACCTCCATTTAATGAAATAAATGGTTTGTGCATTTACTTACTTGGTATTCTTGATGGTTATTGTATCACCCAAACCATTATCCAGTTGTAACTCATTAGGAGCATCGAGATAAATGCAATCTACAAAGCCAGGAAAGGTAACAGCATCCCTGATTTACCAAATATAAGAATTAAAAATAAGATAGAACTAAAACACACACACATTCACACACAAAACCACTCTCTTTGCTGTTATTTAATTAGTATTATTAATACATACCTTTCCTCCTCACCCTCCACTGGATTTCTAGGATCGGGATGTTTGTTCAGTGTTTTGCAACCCTTTAAGCCTCTAACTGATACACTATCAATGGAACCCTGCATAAGGAATTTATTGGTATTTTTATACTTAAACGATGAGATCCTAACCTGTATAGATTAGGACGACAACGAGGTCAAACAGAACTTTACTTACATGAAAATAAGTGTGCAATGCGGTAGTGAAAGAGAACGGTTTTTGGTCTGTGTTTGTAACTCGCAATTCTGTAGAAAGCATCTTCTCATGAAGAGTAACCTAGAAAAAAAGAAAAAAAAAGAATCTTTGTCATGGCTGAAAATTCAAAGTTTTTATCTTGAAGCACAAAGAGGGTAAAAATAATTAAAATCAACTAACCTTGTATAAAGCTTGGAAACTGTAATCCCACATAGAACGACTATAGGGGCCATCCTTCAGTTCTAATGTAATGACTGGATTTTCTACTACATTTTCGGATTTAACAAATGACCAGTTCATATTCCTCGCAAATCCATGCTGTAAGTGGTACATGTTTCCTTACGGGTCTTTTGTAAATAGGAAAATACTTGCGGAAAATAGAGATGCAAATAGAGTGAAATTGGAAGGATAATAATTTTGGGGGAAATATATGTTACACTCGAAATCAATAAATATTAGTCAAGTTCTACAACATAATAAAGGTATTGTACCGTTGCTGACATGGACCATTGAATATATTACAATTGAACAATTAAAACGTGATAAAGTGGTGAAATGGTGGCATGAACCAATTCACCAATTATATGCATTTGAGGTATCATACCTTCATCTATTAATATGGTATTGCAGCACTCACCGTAAAGCATCAAAAAATATTTACGGAGTATTTCATTTTTTAACATTTTCCACAGTAGAGCCAACATAAGAAAATAACTTTTTTGGCAGTTTCTCTTTCCCTAGTATTTTTCCCTATGCAAAAGCACCTTAATGGTTGAAATAGTAAAACTCTAGCATAATAAGAAAATATTATGTAATCATATTGATTGAAATAAACATTTGTCGTTGTGTGGAACAAATATAGCATATACATCTGTTTTGGCCTTTTAGGAAGCTTGCTACATGAACAGCGATGTTGCTAGTTTAAAATAAAATTCTTATTCTCTTAAAAAGTGATTAAAGTTAGAAACCAACTTAAGTGCATTAATGCATTAATCAAAGGCAATTGGAAATCGATTTACCTGCTGAATTGGGCCAGGTCCAAATTGTGGGAAACAATGTGGCATTCCTCCGCTGCATCCATGGAAAACTGTCAAAAAATGCCTTGGTGCTTTGGGAATATCACTTCTATATTTTCTCCTATAATTCAATCCTATGAACTACAAACCCCCAGAGTCCCTATAGTTATAACAAATTACTGAGGAACATATTCCCAGAAGTTGATAAAAAAAATATAAACACTTTCAGCCTTTTTTATCATGTGCGGTAAGAAAACACCTGATTGGTTTCTGCCCATTAAAAACGGCATCTGGCCTAACAAAGAGAAGATCTTTCCCGCCAACTTTCCATGATGTAACACAAGCTCCAAACAAATATAGCTCCGCCTCGCTGCATATGTAGCATGAATCAGTCAAACCAAAATTTACAACTTGAAAGT